ATTTGAGATAAAAATCACCAGACATGTTTATTTACCGTTTAAATTGTATTTTTTGTTCTGCTAGGCATTGTTTTACATCCAGGGATTAAGATTACCTTGTGTATTTTCTCGTAAACTAAGCTGGAAACAGCAATCAGCTGTACACACGTTTTCATGGAATCTACCGGTGATTCGGTCAAGACACACCCAATGATATAGCTTTACAGGATTTTAATGCAAGGATCGGCAAAAATTGTATCTGAAACTATTTTTTTTATCAGGAATAATATATCCCAATATCTTGTTAATTTAGTTGCAGCTTTCACTAAACATATTTTAAATAATAATACCCCTAAGTGAAGCAGCTGATCGCTATTGCCGGTTATTATTTTTCACATGAAACCAGTCTGACCAGTCACCATCAAGGCTCCTGCGCACGTGATCACGAGAACTACGTGTTGACATAGAATCGTCAAACTATAACAAATATGACTTTTAACGAGTCAAAGTATGGCATTTATGATATATGTATCCATTCTCTGTCAACTAATGTTCGTTTCAAGGCATCAATAGTGGTAATCTGACCGTGTTTGCTGTTAATAACGGTGAGTTGTGCGATCTTCCGATCGCTTCACACACAATTTCGCCGAAATTAATCAAAACAATAACAAAAGGAATTTTGAATAAAATTAATGAAATAAGTTACATACATAAGTCCAGATATACAAAGAACACTTTTTATAGCCAGACAGTGTAATTACAGGATTAATTTGCGACATGGTATTTCCGGTGTTGTGTGCTCACGGTAATATCTTTCCATGGGGAAAAAACATTAAAACTCATTATTTTGTGTATAAAGCGCACCCCCTTTACACAGCTGTGTTTTTTGGAAAAAAAGTGCACACTATACTCAAGAAAATACGGTCACTGAGACTGGAATTCGAGGCCCTTCAATTGTAAAGAGTTGACACATGTCTGTAGAGGACGTAGCCTCAGACTTCCTCTGAAGGTCATATCCTGTAGAGATGCCTAGCAGAGACATCCACCACTTCAGCGACTTGCTGGGTTGACTTGAGATTGATTGGATCATCTTTATAGTCTTGTCGAATCAGTCCTCTGGTAGACATAGATATCCCCGGTCTAGCTGGAATCTTGCTCCAATGTATATATTGTCTTGGACTGGAGTGGTCTCTGACTTGGCTGGGTTGACATGGAAACCTAGGTAAGTCATAAGCTGGACCAAGAATATCATGTTCTCATGTAGCTGATCTTTCCCTTGGTCTGCCGCTAAGAGGTCATCCAGATAACCATGGATTTGAACTAGCTTGAGATGGGAGAACTTGATGACTGGCGCCGTAATTCTGGTGAATAGCAAAGGTGCTATTGCTATCCCAAATTGTAGGACTTGGAGTTCGTATCGTCGGCCATTGATTGCGAGGTGTAGATATTTCCGAGATGATGGGTGTATGGGGACGTGAAGATATGCATCTGTAAGATCTTGGCTGAGAAGCCAGTCTCCCTTCTTCAACGTTGACCGCACTTCTGTATGGACTCCATCTGGAATTTTTGAGGTTTCATTAGATATCTCTTGTTGAGGGTCTTTAGATCTATTATCATCCTCATCTCAGTTGTGTTCTTCTTCGGGACTATAAAGACTGGTAAGTAAAAGTCTTTGGTGTTCTTGGACGCCATTTGTTCTGAATGGCTTGCTTCTTTAGTAGCTTCCTGAAGGCCAATTTTGCAGCTGCTAACTTGGCACTGGTCAAGTGAAATCTTCGACCCACGGCGTGTATGTTCAGGCTTGTATGTTTCCGGAAGTGTAGCTGTGAGCCACGACGTCTAGAATCAAGTGGTCGGGCATAACCTGCTTCCAATTTTCGGCATATGACAGACTGCGCCCTCCAACTGGGCCTGGAGTCGGCGTTATGTTGAAAAACGGTAGGCATAAATTGCAATCCATAGACGTTACCAGGTCGAAAGGGTCTATCATGTCGGAGGGGGTTGAAAGGAAGTCAGAATCGATCTTCCACAGCAATCATATCCTCATTACTTGTAGTCTGGCTGGTAAAAAGAGTCCTGCGAAGATTGTGGCTTGTCATACCTCCACCCTCGGTTGGAATGAATCCTTTCCGGAGGGGACAAACTTCTTCTTAGGAGGCTGTTTGGGCGCGAATGACTTTTGGTACCAGGGTCGCTTGTGAGAATGTGATGACTCATGAGCTCTTGCTGCAAGGTCTATGGTTGAAGTCTGGAAATGCTCAACTGTATCTTGTTTCACTTCATCTACCACATTTCTGAGTTTCGCGTTGAAAGTTGTGGTCGCTGATATTGGTTGCGATGTCACAAACTTCTTGGTCTGGCTAGATACGGCCCTTGACTTAATCTGGGATAGGAGCTGTTGTCACTGTAGTCTCAGTTACTGTGAGGAAGTCCAGACTTGGGATAATAGTAAATTTTCCTGCATCTTGACGATTGAGTCAAGGAGGCTGTGGATTAGATATGACCACCATTGGGCGACAATTTTTTTATTTCTTGGTTTACGGATGCGCCGCTCTTTCAAAGTCCAAATGTTAAAAAAAAAAAAAAATGAAAATTACCCTTTTTTTTATTACCGCCGATATTTTCGATAAAAAGTTCAAACAAAAAAATATTACATTTTCTCGTCGAGCGTAAAGCAAAGGGAAGTCACTCTGATATTTCTTGCTGGGATCCTTCTCTAATACCATCATAGCTTGTCGACGCAAAGCGCAGTGGTGACCAGTTTAACTATTTCAACACTGTTGGCCGTTCAAAGCCCACACCGCACGGTAGACCGTCCAAGTCACGTCAAAATAGTTTATAATTATATTAACCTACTTGTCACATCATTCATTTATTAAATCTATCACATTTCACAATGTCTGAAATACATATTCCATTTGATTTTATCATTTTTTTATCTATAGATTAAAAATGTATTCACTAGACACGATTTCCCGCAATGTTATTGAAAATATTCTCGGACACACTTCGAGAACGGGTCCTCATCGAACATGTCAAACAGCAAAATAAAGACGTTTCAAGTGCTGAAATGTCTTTATTTACCAAGAAATAAAATCTTCAAAAATATATCTATAAAAGTTGCCAAACTGACATCTTAGTTATTATTTCCAACTTTTCGTGCGATCGCATGTAATCGTCAGTCAAATGACATCTCGCCTTTCGTCGCCTCAATTTCTCGCCTCGGACACGATGTCTTAATGCCAAAATATATGCATAAGAAATCTTTGTCATAGCTCGTAACCTAGCTCTATACATCCATAAAGTTCCATATTTTTAATATAGATCGCGATTCCATGCTTAACTGTTCAGAATAACATAATTTAACCCAAACCTTTTGCCAAAGTCTGAAAATTACCGTTGCTGTAATTGGATTGGCTGCGTTAGGTCACATGCTTAAATTTGACCAATCACGAACCTTGTAGCAGATTTTGTCGGTGAAACAATATAAGTTTTTTTAATGTGTACTGACATGGCAGCCTTAGACGTTTTAGTTATTCATACGAAGCTTTGAAAACGGAGGTATTTCATCATGTTAGTGAGCGGACAGCCACTATCATCGGGAAATGGGTGATGACAGATATTATTTGTAATTCTTTTTAAAATAATGTTCCAACAGCGTAAACAAATGAAAATAAAAAAGAAATGGGTATATGGATTTTATGAATTCTTATATTTGGCGAAAAAATCTTTAAATTTGCGCTTCATTGGTCCTTAATCTGGACGTTATGAATGTTTTAGCTTACATTATTTTTATTTAAAACGAACTTTATTTAGTTGTTAATGAATTATTTAAATAATGTAATACACATAACTTTCATATTTATAAACAATAGGATTAATTAGACCTTTCAAATAGTGTATGTCCAAACATGTAGTAGCAAAGATGTTAATTTCAGCAGATAATTTCCTTGATAAATGTTGGTTTCACCTATCATACAAGAGTCTCTGGGAACTTGGTGTCACAGCAGTAATCTTCTGGTTGGCTTGTGTTGAAAGAGTTAAACGTTGCCCATTCTGCCAAAATAGCAGCGTCTTTCATGCATTTCCACCCATGACATGAATATTGTTATGTTGCCATTTGTGCACAAGCTGAGTGCCAGGGATATAATAAAATGTTCTTGAAAAATTGAGTTATTTGACTTTTGTTACGCCAGGATATTTTTTTTCATACCTACCTAACTTTTTAGGACAAAATTCAAGTAAAAAAAAATGTGAGAGGCTTTTTTTCTTTTTTTTTAAATTGGCCTGCCTCACTTTTGAAATAAGTTTGAAATCCGTAAACCAAGAAATAAAAAAAGTGTCGCCTTGTGACGTCTAGGCGTGGGTTGTTACGAGTCTACTTGGCAGCAACTAATTGTGTGTAATGGACAGTGAAGAGGACGTCTGTTTAAAATCTAAAACTTTTAGTTCGTGTGATTGAAGCCAAAATACAGGATTTAGATATGTGATATAGGTAGAAGTTTTGTAGGAATTTTGCCATGTTCATCATGACTACCATGGCACTATTGGTAGTCACAGAGGAACAAAAATCAAAGGTTGAAGTGACAAATATCCCAATGCACAACAAAAACACTTCATACCACATGATAACTGTACATTTTTCGTGATGATACATGCAGAAATTGATGATGAATGGGCATGATTTACATTTTCAATATGACAGTAATATCGAACTCTGTGAGCATATTTTAGACAGAACATTGATGGGATCAGATAGAAAAATTTCTGCAATGAAATGGAAGAAACATTAGAAAAACAGGGGAACATGCACGACAAAGGTCAAGCTGGGTAAGAAAGCAAGATATAAGAAAAGAACACATTATTGGTTATTAAACATGGCTGTCATGGTGTTCTAAATAAGAAGTATTTTAATCTATAGTGATAAAAATCAACTTGGAAAATAATACCCCTGACAAAAAGACCTTTAGTCAAGTTGAAATACATAATAAGGATCAAATATAATTCTGATAGTACGCTACCTGTGACCGAGCAGCCTGCTTAGCTTGGGCTGCAGCACTTGGTTGAGCCCGGTTGATACGCTGACTCTTTTCTTTACAGAATGGAATGTGACGCTCAGCAGCTTTAGCATTGAAACGACGTTGGCAGTGAGGACATTGCACATAATCTGGTGGGATAAATTGGAAATTTTAGAATAAATTGTATGTTTATATACTTATCCTTTCTCACATTGTGCATTTCTCTTTCTTCTTTCGATCCTAAGTGGAAACGTGTCTGAAAAAAAGGTTTCCAGCTTCTATAGTTAATTCAACCATACATTCCTCACATCGCCATAGTCACCTCACAGATCTGGGTCATGCATTGCATGCTAGTTGACCTACCTGCACTGATCACATATCTATCCCAGCTAACTCTTTCTCTTTAAAGAGCTTACAGACGAGTGAATTGTGATGTAGGGATGGACAGATGGGCATATAACGAGTGAGATAGGATATGTTTATAAACAATTTATTATAAAATTTCCAAGTCTTTAAACTTATCCTATCTCACACTATTGCATTTGATCCCACGGTTGGATGGTGAGGCACAACTTCCTAGTTTGAACGAGAATGTCCGAAAACTCGCCATTAGTTTCGCACATGAAGCAGGCTGGAGGCCGTTTGACCGACAACCTGCTTCACGTGCCAAACTAATGATGAGTTTGAGGACATTCTCCTACTTAAAACAAAACTCTCTCCAAAACTGTCCACAAAACTAATGTACTTACATAATTATCGTGCGATACTAATGGAGGTCACGTGTATCATCACTTCCTCGATCAAATGTTTATGATCGACTCGATGAAAAGGAGCAATGCACGTGCTAAACTATTGGAGGACCACATGCATACGAGTCGTGGAAATTTGGTCCGTATGGGAGACAACATGTCGGATTGTGGTGATGAATTGTTCGTGACTCAGAACACATTTTGCAATCAGTCTGATGTGGTTGTGAACTCAGATTTTGAAACATTACTTTATATGGATAACTTACAAGAAGATTATTGTCAGAATTTTGAATTAGGCCGGTTATTTTCTGATGAGAACACTGACACTGAACCGTATAATACAAGTCATGATAACTTTGATGATAATTGCAACACTGAACTATACTTGGCAAGATGATAGAAGAATCAGGAATTATTGGCCCATGTGTGTCTGAGAGACAGTTAAATTCCGAAATACTAGATTCGTTAAAAGGTGACAATGAACGTTTTGAGAAAGCCGTACAGGTTACGCAGTTGGGAACCAATCTAGACAATGAAAAGCTTCGGTTCGGTACTCCCCTTTCTGAAGCGGATATGGTGCATTTTTTTTCGATTCGGCATACTCTGTGAACACTGAACATAAGAGTAGATGGGCTTTGAATATTTTCAAGAATTGGGTTGTTGAGAGGCAAAAACGCAGTAATAATGAAATTCCAATAGCAAATCAAAACATAGTGTCGTTAGCTGAAAACGAAAATGATCTGAACAGAACATTCATGTTATTTCTGTCGGAGGTTAAAAACCAAAAGCGTGAAGAGTACCAAGGCAACACTCTGTACAAAATTGTGTCTTCTCTTCAGTATTACTTAAGAAGGAACGGGGTTGTCGTCAATTTCTTTGAGTCATCTCGTTACACCAGTATGCGATCCGTTCTTGATGCAAATGATGAAATTACTAGCTCGAAAAGGGATAGGGGTTGAAAAACGACAAGCGGATGTCATCACTGAACAGCAGGAAGATGTACTTTGGGAAACAGGTATACTCGGAGAAGATACACCACAGAAGCTCTTGGACACCCTCGTCTATTTAATCGGGTTGAACTTTGCTCTTAGGGCAGGAGATGAACACAGATACCTACGCAGTGGTTCAAATTCACAGTTACAGTTGTTGATGTCAAGCAATGGCGTCAAACAATTGAAATATACTGAGGACTTTTCCAAAACGAACAGAGGGGGGCTGAAGCACAGGAAGGTTGAAAGGAAACACGTGACCATCTCTAGTAATGAGGAAAACCCTGGAAGATGCCTCGTCAGACTGTACGAAAAGTATATGTCATTAGGGTAAATATAATTCTCTCACAAGTTCACAACTAATATTGTGAAAAGGAAGAAGTAGTTCCTATGCGACGTTTCTGTCTGCGAGTTCTACCTGTCTGTCAGTCAGCGAGTTCTACCTGTCTGTGTAACGTAATGTGCACCTGATTAACATATTTTGTATGACTTTACCTTACGTTCTAATGTTCTTATGCACTATGTACTTTGTACGGTCAGCTGCATGAATTGATGACAGTTCACTTTGTTTTTAGACCAGTACATGGAAAGTGTGACGCCTTCTATTTCACCCGTTACGATACACTGCAGGCAAGGTTTGGTTTACTGATGCGGCCGTTGGGATTCATCCACTCTGGTCAACTGTCAGCCGTCTCTGTAAGGCCGCTGGTTCAGCGGATTTTACACAAATCACTCCCTCAGAGCTACAACAGCAACTCGGCTTTACGACAGCGGAGTAGACGAACAGCTAATTGCCGAGAAGACGGAACATAAATCGGATGCAATTCGAAGCTACAAGGTATAAACTTAACCTATACGTCTGTGTATTTCCCACAATACTTAAATGTGGTATATGGCGTTTTCTAATCTGCTTTACCGTGGATGTTAGAGGACGTGATAATGCATTTTTGCAATGACCAGACTTCGGATCAACATCCCCGGGGTTCGAATCCCAAATAATATTTCTATATATTCAGTGGTCACACCCAGTGTCAGTATACTATATACATCTTGGAGCTGCTATTTTTTTCCCCTGTTGTACTATAACAGGAAATAAAAGTTGCATTTTGATATAATGCAAAATTAAATGTTTATGTGATATAATCAAGCAAAATAAGCTTTTCTTTTATTAGAGGACATCCAAGGAAATGGCGGATACAGTAGACTCAATCATGCAGAGAAAATCAAGACGTCCAAGTGCTTCTGTAACTGGTCCCCCTGTTATTGACGCCGCAACCTTTGATCCGCCAGGCAATCAACCATCGACAAGACCGACACTGGGCCCATCAAAAGGCGAATAGGCTCCCTACACAAGTGACAGGCGCGATTTTACAATGAAACTTGGTGACGGCACAACATTTTCTGTGAAATTTTGAATTTGTGTTCAGCATAAATATTTGTGAAATCATTTATTTTGTTGTCTTTGTCTTAAAATATATGTAGACTGTCAGTTTGTCTCTCCCAAAACGAACCTACCACCTGCATGGGCTGACCCTGTTGACCTCCTAAAATGACTAATGTTCATGTAACTTTGTTTTAATAGTTAAACAAGAGCGGTCACCCTCCCATAGTATAGCACAGTAAAGTGAACATCACTTGAACATTAGTTTGAGGCATTAACTTGATCAAACTTTGTTTTAAGTAGGAGAAAGTCCTCAATCTCGTGATTATTTTCGCACGTGAAACTTGTTCTCGGCCTAACAGCCTCGAACAAGCTTCATGTGCGAAAATAATCGCGAGATTTCGGACGTTCTCCTATACTTCACGCAACTTTGTTTTAAATATAGATGACAACCGTCAGATATTTACAAGAAACCTGAGACCTAACAGTGGTACAATACTTAATAAAGTAACAAAGTTAAGTGTCGTAAGACAACTCGGAGATAGGAATAAGAAACACTCTCAAAGAGTGTTAAGATCCTGATATGAGAAAAAAACAAACACAAGAAGTTCATAAAAAAGCGCAATCATTTGTATATCCTCCAAGAGGATGCTAAGTCTGAGAAGCTCGATTGAGCATGATAAACACAAACAATCATGACATGGTTTATTTCAATGGATGTGGCAGCATGTCACTTTGAGGATGTGTCTCCCGGCTTGGGAAAGTCGGTGTTTCCCTTGGGTCCTGAGAAAGAGACAGTATGTCCATTGGATTTACCTCCTCACTGACTTTGGCGTCTCCGATGTCATTTCCTATCTTTTCTCTGTTCTTCTAGTTGGTTCTGCTGAAGACGGAGACGTCCCGCGAAAAGAAAGGGTGTAGACCATGGGAGTTGACATAACTGGTTCTTAAAATGGTCATCCTAAGAGTAATGTTGCAAAACACCTCGTCTGCTAAGAGTGGTGACCAATCCTGCGTGGTGAGCCAAAAGATCTAAGACAGCTCCCGTCTTATTTTGAATCTTATCTTCTAGGGAAGAAGCATGAACCAAAGCCAACGAAAGAGCTTCTATTGCCGAAAATCAAGAGAAGTGTCCTCCAAACTGTAGTGTCGAGGTGCCTGAGATCCCTATCGTTCACTGAAGTGCAAGAGAAAGGGCGCTAAGGTTGCAATGTCACCATCCAACTCAGGGTCAACCGTTGCTAAGCCATGTCTGCCTGCATCAGCCAAAACAAACGTGGAGACTGAAGCCAATCACGTAGTCGTCGAAAAGAGCCCAAGCCCTTATCTAAGTTTGTGGCCATGTCCTGTAAAACGGGTCTGGGAGCAAGCCGAAGGGACAACAAAGGAAGATAGGGTGTCCTCAGTTGAAGTACTTTTGGAAAGTTGCAATTTATCTGCAATCCATATGAAAACAGTAACCGGGTCGAGCTGATCTGTTGTGCTGGGATGGCAGTGATATCACCTGAGTTCCATGAAGTCGGGATGACTTGAGGTAGAGTCTGTGTTGTTGTCAGAACCTGTGTTCAGTCACAGCAGGAGGGCTTTGAATCGAGGGTAGTAAGGGTAAACCCAAATGGTGAGTAGGCGAAATAGAGGGTGAACCCAAATGATGAGAAGTCAAAGTAGAAAAATGCCTATCTTTAGACGAAGGACATCTACTAACAGTAGCCAATGGGTGTGGTTTATCCTATGACGGTGGGGCAAAGCATCATGGTGAGAAGAGGACTGGACCGAGAGGTTCGGTAGTCCGGACAGGTAGGGTCATGAGAGTATCCGCGGAGGAAAAAAATCCCTATAACGTGAGCAACGTTCCCTATTCATGTGCCTGAGTGTATGAAATGGGGTTCTAAAGATAATCCCAGCAATGGTGGAAAACATAGAAATTGGGTATAATCTTGTGGTCAAAAGTCTGGATGACTAGAGGAGTTAAAATTTAACGTCGCATCGGCACTATTTCAGCCGTATAGCAACAAGATCAAGTTAATATA